ACAACCCAGTGAGCACACAAGGGCTCAGGCAATGATGCAACATCTTTCACCCACTGGTAGGCAAAAGGAATTCAGCTCAAATTAGGTACTAAAGCTGCAAATATGACTAAGACATAGCACACTTGCTCTCAAGGTGCTTATGATCTAGATGGTGACAGAACTGAAGGGAGATGATTTCAAACTTTTGCAGGTAGTGGGAAAATTTGACAAGTGCCAAGGGAGATGAATGCATAGTGTGCCATGAAAATATAAAGAAGGGTCACCTGCCCCAGACTGAGGTTTAGGAACACTTGTTGGAGATGAGGCCATTTGAGCTGATTCTAGCAGGCAAAGCAAGGTGAGAAAAATTTACCGTAAACAGTCATGGAGGTAAAACACAGCAAAGCAAGTTCAGGGCATGTCAAGTAATTGGATATTACTAGAGTGGAAAGCTGAAGGTCCCATAGGGTCTCTTATGCCACTCTAAGAAGTTTATTCCACAGGCCATGGGGAAGTATGGTGGAAACTGCTCATCATCCCTATCATCATTTCTCCTCTTCCTTTTTGTAACGGAAACTGTTCTCTCCTCCACTAAATTTAGCTCAGTATATGTCTGTCCAGTTAGGGAATATGTTATCTAACCTTCCTTGCAGTAGATGTGATCATGTAACCAAGTTCTAGCCAATGAGTTGTGAATGGAAGCTACTTTGATATTATGTCATTAAAAGGAAGTTACTTGCTCTCCGCTTTCTCTTTCCCTTCTTTCTCCTTCCAGAGGTCTGGACACAGATGTGACCAAGTGAGCAAGGCTCAGCCATGCAAACAATGACCACATCCTGGAGTAGGTGCCACAATAAAATGAAAGAAACCTGGGTTCCAGGATGAACAAGTGGAGCAGAGCTATCTGTATAATGAGACATCCACCTTACTGAACTATTAAGTGAGAGAGAAATAAACTTCTTATCGAGTCACTGTCTTTTGAGGAGTCTGTGTTATAGCAGCATAGGCTGTATCCTAACACGGAAGGGAGGGAAACACGGTAATCTAATTCCTGACTTGGTCAGAAATGGCTAAAGGGCCAGGAAAGGCTGAGACAACAAATGTCTACCCTTAATGATTATAGCTGAGTGAAGCTAAGGCTGGCAGATAGTAAGATAAGCAACTATGCAGCCTTGTCTCGGAAGAGATAGGAAAAGCCCCTTGAAAACTATAAACCGGTTCTAGGAGCCAAGTTCATCCAGAGCAGGATTGCAGCCAGCAACCACCTGAATGCCTTCTTTGCACTCCACCCTGCAAAACTATGTCCACTGCCACCTTCAAAAGCTGACACCAACAAGCCTGCCAATAAGACTTCCTTGACTAACCCCACTTAGTCATTTTGTGTAAATTATGTTTGCAGAAAGGAAAATGTATTTATGATCCTCCTCTGTTTTCTGAAGAGGATAGGTACTCTAATTGGAAGACCTTCTGTTTTACTGAACACAGTAATCTGTCCAGGGTGCACTTTAGGAAGTAGGAGCTGGTATAAATGTTTTCCTCTGAGTAATGAAGGGCTGAGGAATTTGGAAGGGGCTCTGGAGTGGGAGAGTTAAGAGCAGCAAAGCTGGAGACTTTGGGTAAAAAAATACTCTAGTAGCAGAACCAGAGAGAGTACTCTAAAAGCAGTTTATAGGAGGATTACTAAATGAATTGTTGCAAGCTACATGATGTAAATTGTGTCTCTACTTCAGTGAATTCTGCCTGGTTCTCTAAGGTCCTTGTATGAGAGGACATAGCGGGTGTGAGCTTGAATAAGAGGATGAGGCTGACATCTGGATTACATGCAACATCTGAAAAAAGAAACTAGAGCAAAGGAAGTCAGAGACAGTGCCAGGGATTAAAACTTCTAGAATTGTACACACTCTCCCTTACTTATTATTTTATAATTTAAAAATTATGTAGGTTACATTGCCATAATCTAAGACTTACCATTCACCCAATATGCAATGGGCAATCACTGAGTGCCCATTACTAGAATAATTGCTTGCAGTTATTAAATGCTTACAAGAATTCAGAAATGGAACCCTTCTTCTAGCTGAGGTTGAGGTGGATTTTAGGGAAGGCAACAGGGAACAAGTTGTTTTTAAGCTGGGTCTTGAAGAGTGGACAGGAATTAGTTATATGAATATTTTTCAGAGGCAGAGAACAGCATAGATGATTTGACCAAAGTCAATGTCACACTTTGTTTTTTCAATAACTATCTATCAATATCCACCATGTGCCACACACTGTGTAAAGTTTCAGAGATATGAAGATTAATCTGGCTTCCCAGGTTTCTGTTAATATAGCCCTCAACTTTTCTATGCATTCCATTACTGGTTTGCCACATCTATCAGGCCTTTCTTGGACACGTTTCTGTGTGGTCAGTTTTTCCCTTGAATTCTATTGTGTGTGATGCTTTTATTTTTTTGGAAAAAAGAGAGAAAAAAAAGAAAAAGAAAAAAAGAAGGACAGAAAGAAAAAAAAAGAATGAAAGAGAGAAAGAAAGAGGAAGAAAAAGAGGGAGAGAGAATAGGAGTCTTGCTTTATTGCCCAGGCTAAAATGCAGTCTAAAAATGGGTATTGAAAACCTCTTTAATGCCAATAATTGTGCTTAACAATGGAGACAGGAAGGAATAAGGGAGGAAAATAACAAACAAGCAGCCAACCAATATTTCATTTAAACCTGTGAAATGCTATGCAATTACTGAGGAGTGATTTACTTCCAATTATGTAGTCACTTTTAGAGTAGGTGTGATGTGGTACTGATAAGAATGTATGTTTTGTGGATTTGGGGTGGACAGTTCTATAAACGTTTATTAAGTTTACTTGTTCTGGGACTGAGTTCAAGTCCTGGATATGATGCTTGTTATTTATTTATTTTTTGAGACAGTTTTGCTCGTGTTGGCCAGGCTGGAGTGTAGTGGTGTAATCTCAGCTCACTGCAACCTCTGCCTCCGGGGTACAAGCGATTCTCCTGCCTTAGTCTCCTGAGTAGCTGGGATTACAGGTGACTGTCACCACGCCCAACTGTTTTTTATATTTTTAGTAGAGACGGGGTTTCATCATGTGGCCAGGCTAGTATCAAACTCCTGACCTCAGGTGATCCATCTGCCTCAGCCTCCCAAAGTACAGGGATTACAGGTGTGAGCCACCATGCCCGGCCGTGTGATGCTTTTTTTTCCACTCCTTAATTATACCACTTTTCCATTTATCCTAGTGCATTTTACGTAAGCTTCTAAATTTTTAATTTTTGTGAGTACATAGTAGGTATATATATTTGTGGGGTACATGAGATGTTTTGATATAGGCATGCAATGTAAAATAATCACATCATGGAGAATGGGTTACCCATCCCCTCAAGCATTTATCCTTTGTGTTACAAACAATCCGATTACTGTAGTGCATTTTAGCCTGCTATTGATGATTGTTTCTTCAATTTATTGAGGTAACTTGAATTTTGATCTTCTATATACTTGGCAGATCCATCTTCTTGGGGACATATGTAATGTTTATAAAGATATTATTTCTACTGTCCAGACCCATATCTCAGTACCCTTCTATGCCAATATATAGAGAAAGTTGAAAGAAAGATAAGAAATAAAGCCCCAAAACCCCAGGTTACACTAGCCTGGTATATCTGTATTGGCCACAGTTTTGTAAACTGAACTTGCAATGATGTTTCTTAAATGACAACCACTATTGTTACCAACAGATACTGAGTACCTACCACATGTAGAAACAGTATGCATGATGCATTGGCCCCTGATCTTGAGAGGTTTAGTCTAGATAGGGAAGCAATTAGACAATGCACATATTCTGTTTGGTAGAATTTTCCACCCATCTTCCCAATGGATTAAGAGAGAACAAAATGAGGGAACACAGGAATCATCTCCTCTGCCCTATTCTTTTATGGCTATGTTCAGAAGGAAGGAGTTACTAACCTGATTGGTCAGAGCCCAGGCAAAAGGAAAAAAAAAAATATATATATATATATATACACACACACACACATATATATACACACACATATATATATATACATATATATATACACACACATATATATACACACACACACGCATATATATATA